GTACTTTTGTAGGGCCCTCTTAGATTTTTTTAGGGGAACAGAACGTATGATTTTTTGTTTTTTATTCAGTTAATAGGGGGCCTTATTTTGTACTAGACTCAACACTTAGATAAGATTCAAAACGCTTGATTTTTCTCAAGGTATTCCTTTGATGATTTAGAGCAGAGGTTCTTAAGTTATTCTAGTTTTTTTTCAAAATACTTTAATCCTTGACTACTTCTCCTCAAACCCTAGCTATCGATTGAAAAGGTTTATCTTTTGGTAGGTCTCTCTTGGAATTTTCTAGGGCACAGAATCTATGATCTATTTCGTTTTATTCAGTTAATAAGGGCCCTTATTTTTACTAGAGTCAAAACTTAGATAAGATTAAAAAACGTTTGATTTTTCTCAAGGTATTCCTTGTATGATTTAGAGCAGAGGTTCTTAAGTCTTTCTAAATGTTTTTCAAAATACTTTAGTCCTTGACTACTTCTCCTCAAATTCTAGCTATCGATCCAGAAAGTTTGTCTTTTTGTATGTCTCCTCTTGGAATTTTTTAGAGCACCGAATCTATGATCTTTTTCTTTTTTATTCAGTTAATAAGGGGCCTTATTTTAATTAGAATTAACACTTAGATTAGTTTAAAAAACGTTTGATTTTCCTCAAGGTATTTCTTTGATGATTTAGAGCAGAGGTTCTTAAGTCTTTCTAAATGTTTTTCAAAATACTTTAATCCTTGACTACTTCTCCTCAAACCCTAGCTATCGATTGAAAAGGTTTATCTTTTGGTAGGTCTCTCTTGGAATTTTCTAGGGCACAGAATCTATGATCTATTTCGTTTTATTCAGTTAATAAGGGCCCTTATTTTTACTAGAGTCAAAACTTAGATAAGATTAAAAAACGTTTGATTTTTCTCAAGGTATTCCTTGTATGATTTAGAGCAGAGGTTCTTAAGTCTTTCTAAATGTTTTTCAAAATACTTTAGTCCTTGACTACTTCTCCTCAAATTCTAGCTATCGATCCAGAAAGTTTGTCTTTTTGTATGTCTCCTCTTGGAATTTTTTAGAGCACCGAATCTATGATCTTTTTCTTTTTTATTCAGTTAATAAGGGGCCTTATTTTAATTAGAATTAACACTTAGATTAGTTTAAAAAACGTTTGATTTTCCTCAAGGTATTTCTTTGATGATTTAGAGCAGAGGTTCTTAAGTCTTTCTAAATGTTTTTCAAAATACTTTAATCCTTGACTACTTCTCCTCAAACCCTAGCTATCGATTGAAAAGGTTTATCTTTTGGTAGGTCTCTCTTGGAATTTTCTAGGGCACAGAATCTATGATCTATTTCGTTTTATTCAGTTAATAAGGGCCCTTATTTTTACTAGAGTCAAGACTTAGATAAGATTAAAAAACGTTTGATTTTTCTCAAGGTATTCCTTGTATGATTTAGAGCAGAGGTTCTTAAGTCTTTCTAAATGTTTTTCAAAATACTTTAGTCCTTGACTACTTCTCCTCAAATTCTAGCTATCGATCCAGAAAGTTTGTCTTTTTGTATGTCTCCTCTTGGAATTTTTTAGAGCACCGAATCTATGATCTTTTTCTTTTTTATTCAGTTAATAAGGGGCCTTATTTTAATTAGAATTAACACTTAGATTAGTTTAAAAAACGTTTGATTTTCCTCAAGGTATTTCTTTGATGATTTAGAGCAGAGGTTCTTAAGTCTTTCTAAATGTTTTTCAAAATACTTTAGTCCTTGACTACTTCTCCTCAAATTCTAGCTATCGATCCAGAAAGTTTGTCTTTTTGTATGTCTCCTCTTGGAATTTTTTAGAGCACCGAATCTATGATCTTTTTCTTTTTTATTCAGTTAATAAGGGGCCTTATTTTTATTAGAATTAACACTTAGATAAGATTCAAAGCTGTTTGATTTTTTTCAAGGTATTACTTCGATGAATTAGAGCAGAGGTTCTTAAGTTATTCTAATTTTTTTCAATATTCTTTAATCCTTGACTACTTCTCTTCAAACTCTTGCCTTCGATCGAAAAAGTTTGTACTTTTGTAGGGCCCTCTAAGATTTTTTTAAGGGGAACAGAACGTATGATTTTTTGTTTTTTATTCAGTTAATAGGGGGCCTTATTTTGTACTAGACTCAACACTTAGATAAGATTCAAAACGCTTGATTTTTCTCAAGGTATTCCTTTGATGATTTAGAGCAGAGGTTCTTAAGTTATTCTAGTTTTTTTTCAAAATACTTTAATCCTTGACTACTTCTCCTCAAACACTAGCTATCGATTGAAAAAGTTTATCTTTTTGTAGGTCTCTCTTGGAATTTTCTAGGGCACAGAATCTATGATCTATTTCGTTTTATTCAGTTAATAAGGGCCCTTATTTTTACTAGAGTCAAAACTTAGATAAGATTAAAAAACGTTTGATTTTTCTCAAGGTATTCCTTGTATGATTTAGAGCAGAGGTTCTTAAGTCTTTCTAAATGTTTTTCAAAATACTTTAGTCCTTGACTACTTCTCCTCAAATTCTAGCTATCGATCCAGAAAGTTTGTCTTTTTGTATGTCTCCTCTTGGAATTTTTTAGAGCACCGAATCTATGATCTTTTTCTTTTTTATTCAGTTAATAAGGGGCCTTATTTTTATTAGAATTAACACTTAGATAAGATTCAAAGCTGTTTGATTTTTTTCAAGGTATTACTTCGATGAATTAGAGCAGAGGTTCTTAAGTTATTCTAATTTTTTTCAATATTCTTTAATCCTTGACTACTTCTCTTCAAACTCTTGCCTTCGATCGAAAAAGTTTGTACTTTTGTAGGGCCCTCTTAGATTTTTTTAGGGGAACAGAACGTATGATTTTTTGTTTTTTATTCAGTTAATAGGGGCCTTATTTTGTACTAGACTCAACACTTAGATAAGATTCAAAACGCTTGATTTTTCTCAAGGTATTCCTTTGATGATTTAGAGCAGAGGTTCTTAAGTTATTCTAGTTTTTTTTCAAAATACTTTAATCCTTGACTACTTCTCCTCAAACACTAGCTATCGATTGAAAAAGTTTATCTTTTTGTAGGTCTCTCTTGGAATTTTCTAGGGCACAGAATCTATGATCTATTTCGTTTTATTCAGTTAATAAGGGCCCTTATTTTTACTAGAGTCAAAACTTAGATAAGATTAAAAAACGTTTGATTTTTCTCAAGGTATTCCTTGTATGATTTAGAGCAGAGGTTCTTAAGTCTTTCTAAATGTTTTTCAAAATACTTTAGTCCTTGACTACTTCTCCTCAAATTCTAGCTATCGATCCAGAAAGTTTGTCTTTTTGTATGTCTCCTCTTGGAATTTTTTAGAGCACCGAATCTATGATCTTTTTCTTTTTTATTCAGTTAATAAGGGGCCTTATTTTAATTAGAATTAACACTTAGATTAGTTTAAAAAACGTTTGATTTTCCTCAAGGTATTTCTTTGATGATTTAGAGCAGAGGTACTTCAGTTATTCTAGTTTTTTTTCAAAATACTTTAATCCTTGACTATTTCTTTTGAACTCTCGCTATCGATCGAGATAGAGTGTCTATTTGTAGGTCTCTTTGTGAACTTTTTAGGGCACAGAATCTATGATCTTTTTCATTTTATTCAGAAAATAAGGGGCCTTATTTTTACTTGAATCAACACTGAGATAAGATTCCAAAACGTTTGATTTTTCTCAAGGTTTTCCTTTGATGATTTAGAGCAGAGGTTCTTAAGTTATTCTAGTTTTTTTTCAAAATACTTTAATCCTTGACTACTTCTCCTCAAACTCTAGCTATCGATTGAAAAAGTTTATCTTTTTGTAGGTCTCTCTTAGAATTTTTTAGGGCACAGAATCTATGATCTATTTCGTTTTATTCAGTTAATAAGGGCCCTTATTTTTACTAGAGTCAAAACTTAGATAAGATTAAAAAACGTTTGATTTTCCTCAAGGTATTCCTTGTATGATTTAGAGCAGAGGTTCTTAAGTCTTTCTAAATGTTTTTCAAAATACTTTAGTCCTTGACTACTTCTCCTCAAATTCTAGCTATCGATTGAAAAAGTTTATCTTTTTGTAGGTCTCTCTTGGAATTTTCTAGGGCACAGAATCTATGATCTATTTCGTTTTATTCAGTTAATAAGGGGCCTTATTTTTATTAGAATTAACACTTAAATAAGATTCAAAAACGTTTGATTTTTCTCAAGGTATTTCTTTGATGATTTAAAGCACAGGTACTTCAGTTGTTCTAATTTTTTTTCAAAATACTTTAATCCTTGACTACTTCTCCTCAAACTCTAGCTATCGATTGAAAAAGTTTATCTTTTTGTAGGTCTCTCTTGGAATTTTCTAGGGCACAGAATCTATGATCTTTTTCATTTTATTCAGAAAATAAGGGGCCTTATTTTTACTTGAATCAACACTGAGATAAGATTCCAAAACGTTTGATTTTCCTCAAGGTATTTCTTTGATGATTTAGAGCAGAGGTACTTCAGTTATTCTAGTTTTTTTTCAAAATACTTTAATCCTTGACTACTTCTCTTCAAACTCTACCTATCGATCGAAAAGGTTTGTCTTTTTGTAGGGCTCGCTTGGAATTTTTTAGAGCACAGAATCTATGATCGTTTTCATTTTTATTCAGTCATTCTAATTTTTTCAAGATACTTTAATCCTTGACTACTTCTCTTCAAACTCTAGCTATCGATCGATAAAGTTGGTCTTTATGTAGGTCTCGCTTGGAATTTTTTAGAGCACAGAATCTATGATCGTTTTCATTTTTATTGAGTTAATAAGGGGCCATATTTTTGCTAGAATTAACACTAAGTTAAGATTCAAAAACGTTTGTTTTTTCTCAGGGTTTTCTTTTGATGATTTAGAGCAGAGGTTCTTCAGTCATTATAATATTTTTAAAAATGCTTTAATCCTTGACTATTTCTTTTGAACTCTAGCTATCGATCGAGAAAGATTCTCTATTTGTTGGTCTCTCTTTGAACTTTTTAGGGCACAGAATCTATGATCTTTTTCATTTTCATTCAGTTAGTAAGGGCCTTATTTTTACTAAAATCAACACTTAGATAAGATTTGAAGTTGTTTGATTTTTCTGAAGGTATTCTTTTGATGATTTAGTGCAGAGGTTTTTGTTACTTCGATATTTCCTCTTTTTTCAAGTTATTTTATTCTCTGACCTATTCACCAAAAACTTTTTGTTTTGATTAAAAAGAGCATCGACGAATTGCCACATTTATTTAACTCTACGTTGTTAACTTTGTAGATTGGTGTCGGCACCATTATGGGTTATGGGAAGGCGGCAGCAACCTCGCACAACCAGAGGCAAAGATGGCGTCCAACCTAAGTTCTGACTGGAGAATTGATGGGAATTCTGTGTTTGTTGTACACAAGCTTGAGATGAATTAATTCAATGGTGAGTGGTTTTTAATGCTCTTTCGTTTGTCAGTTAGCTTATGTTTGAACTAGTAAACCCTTGGTTCAAGTTTCAAGGCCATCATTTTCTAAAGGCCTAACCACCAATCCTCTTTCATTCGTACGCAAAACCTTCCATTCCCTTTTAGCCTGTTTTGTTTTCCATAAATTTTGTAAATTGTTTTTGTAAAATTCCAAATTCTCTATTTTCTATTTACATTATGAAGTACTGGTTATTGTATCTTGTTGGTGTTATTATATCATATAATTATAATTCATATAACTCTATTGAATAATATTGTATGTAATTTTGCTACCTAATTTGTGTAAATTTTATCATGTTCGTTAATTAAATAGGGTGCTGGGCCCGAAAATTATCTCAATTCTCTTAGCATCCTAGGCAGCCATACTAATAAAAACACTGGTATTTAACCATTTTAATTTTTTATAGACAGCTAATTAATATTTAAATTGTAAGCCAAAATTGTGGTTGCTGAATTACAAGAATTTGAATTTTGATCAAATGGAAACCCCTAAAAATTTGAAATTTAAGATTAATGTTGGGTCGCAGCAGTATATACGGCTCATGCAAGTTGTAAGGATCATATTTCAATTATGTAGGCATCCTTTCAAGTTTTCAAAATTGATAAGCAAACACACAACAGTAACCAATGTACATTATCAATGCATCAACATATTTCCCTATCTTTCATGAATAATTTCAAAGTTTTGTCTGACAATTTAATCAAGAAATTACATAAGAATTTTTTAGAATAAGGGCTCCCGTGGCCAAGTGTCAATTAAACGAGGCTTCGTATATGGGTATTCCATTTCTTCTAGCAACAAGCAAGTAATGTCAAAAAAGCTTCAACCAAAATGAAATCGTTTTTTACAAAATAATTAATTTATCCCCCTGCAATTCATCATGCCTATTAGAGTTTATCTAGAAATGTTAGGGTTCTAGGGTTAGATTAATCACCCACCAGCACTAGGGTCAACATTTAGTGAATCTGGTGGAACCAGGGGCGGATTTTGATATGTTCCAAAATCAAAATCCAAATAAAATTTTCTTTTGCCCATACAATGCCATTACAAAGCAGGCAAAGTTTCTTTAAAAAATATCAATGACCTTAACAATCGATATTGTTTTGGTGGTGGGTATAGAGACTTCTTAATCCCTTTTGTTTTCCGATGAGGCTAGTGGCCAGCAGTCACAAGGTATTCAAAGGCCATCCTGAATACACCCGCATTGTTTTTGACTGACCGTGACGTCAGTCACAGGAGATAACTGTGAGGCTAAACAAAGAATTTTGAAAGTAAAGGTATTCAGAACTTGTCTGAATACTCTTAGAGGAAACACAATCAGCCCTACTTTTACGCTATCAAATTTATGTAGATATCTTCATTTACAGCTGTATGTTTGCATAAGCCATGTGGATGCAATGGAAAAATAAGTTGATACAATAGATTCTAATACAATCTGCTGATAAAATCTTTGTCTCATTATCTCAAATGATTCTTGCAAGAGTGGAGACACGGAGATAGTTCCACCCAGGGGCGGCTTGGCGCAATATTAGATTGGTATTCAAGGTACTAACAATCTACTCGATAAAATGCCACACCCAAAAAAATCAAATCCCCCAAATGCCACACCCCATTATATAGCCCTACAGAAAGGATTTTCAAAATTGGTTCTAAAATGATGTCTAAGTAGTTTTGATGAATTACTTCACCTTGTCCACATTCCAACAAAAAATAGCAAGAAGCCCAATCGTTTGTGGTGTGCTATAGATCATATTTAAAATGTTTTACTCAAAAGGGCTTATTTGCTAAATATCTCAGTTATCCAGGATCAACTTGCAAGGAAACTAGATCTCGTTTGTATTATGTCCCTTCCGCTTGAAAACAAATGCTTCGTTGCACTCTTGATATACACGTATGAAAGGTTATCGGGCAGTAAAAACTGAGGCCTGTATTCAAGACCAAAGCACGGCCAAAAGCCTTTCTATGAAGCCGCACCATATTCGAAGGTATTCAGTTTGGATTCTGAATAGTGTGGCCACAAAGCTGCGACAGTTTGTGGACTGAGGCAATGGCCGAATGTGGCCATTAAAAATGAAAAAAATAACCAGATAAGGCTAGCATTTTATTCTGATTATCTGTGTTGAACACACATTGAAACTTGCAAATTAAAAGACTTTTAATTTTATGTTCTGTGTTCCCTTCATGTTGAATTTATTTGCCACATATTTAACCCATTATTGTTAATTACTTTAGATTTGTATTGGCAACTTCATGAGTTTGGTAAGAAAAGGTGCCTGCCAATTCAATCATTTCAACTAGAAGCAAAGATGACATTGAACCAAAGTTCTGTGGAAAAGTGATGGGTGTTGCATATAAAGAAGCTCAAGATGGATTCAATCATCAATGGTAAGTGTTGTTTTTATCACTTGTGTTCTATCAGTTAGCTGTCTTTTGAAGTACAAGCCCACATTGGTTTTAAACCAGTCTGCAGAGCATGGCAAACTAGACAAGATTCGTGTTTGTCAGATGTTATTGGAAAAATGTGTGCAGGAGTGCTGCTATATTGTGCAATGTATGCACACTATTAAGTTTCAGTCTAATGCTTGTGTCAAGTTTTATTTATGTCAGGCCTTGCTCTAAGCAAAATGGAGGTGCTCTATAAGAAAGCCCCTTAGAAACTCTAGGAGCTCTATTTCGCACCTCTGATATTAGAATGTCCTTGTGAGCATCCTTTGAGAGCTTAGGAAGATCGAGAGCTTCATATCGAAAGCTTCGGTATAAATTCAACGGTGATACCAAAAAGCACCATAATATAAAATAACAAAACATGCAACAAACAGTTTTTAAACACTATATTATTATGAATGTAGAAATATTATAAAACAAAGTCTCAAAACTGTTCAGATTTTTCTAGTTATGTAAGTTGCCATCACTTGATGAGCTTTCATCAATGTCAGTATCACCACTGTTATGTTCAGCTTCACATATTGCTTCATCAAAACGCATGGCTTTAAGTCGAACATTTAACTTTGTTGCATTTCTTATGTTATCCATTTTAAAGGAACGCTATAAGATCTACTACTCATGAAGGCAAATGAAAACTGAAAAGCAATGTGATAATTTGGGCTGAAATGTGGTCACTGATTTGCACAGGTGATTTTAATTATTAAGAAGAAACAGAAAATAATACTTCAACAAAATATTGACACTATCTTGAAAATCAAATAAATTGGCTGGAGAATATGCTTGTTGGCCTGTGTCCTTGGTGGTTATTAGAGGGTTATTAGATTAAAAATGGTATCAAAAACCCAACATTGAATTTGCTGAATTTTTTCTCAAGTGGTAAACTTACGCAAATGATAATATTGCGGTCTGTTGGGAAAATTGTTTATGCTTGATCAAGTTTATTCAACAAATTCCCAAAATTTATTTTGCCTCGTGATAATATAGTTCTTATTTGAGGGGCTCTATAAATCGCTCTCTAAGGCTTTTTTGGGGCGTCCTCTAGGAGCGCGTGCTCGATAGAGCCCCTTTCCAGGCAAGGCCTGGTCGTGTACGTGCCCCACTTGTTGATGTGCACTTCCAATGTGTAAGATTAATTATCCTTGAAAAGTGCGCACAGCATCAATTTCTGCCAAAGCACTTTGGGGAATTTCACAGAACATTGACTCCTGGTTATAATTTAGCATAGGGTCACTCATTTACAGATTTTCCTAAAAAATTTGTCATGCCTGCAAGCACAAACTGTTTTGCAAAAGGTGCCTGCATGATTTTTTCACATGTAATATGTAGGATATAAATTTGTTTAAAGTAAAAGACATAAAGTAAGGCTCAATGACCCATCATACATCATGCATGAATATAAAAAAGGTCCTGTAGGCAAAATTGTTTCTCTCTTTAATTCTTTGTGGAAAATCCAGTTAGTTTGTTCGCACTAGGAACAATGACAGCACCACAACATTCCCTTTCATTTCTTTTTCATGAGTCATTTTTATTGTTCAAAGACTAGTAAATTTTCAAAGAATTACTTTACCAGAAAATTACTTTATAATTACAATGGTTTTATCTTATAACAAAAATAGCATTAGAGAGTTTAAACAAACTTTAGCTTGTGACAAAAAGGGAAAATTTGAAGCCATTGAGTCTTTAATTTTATCTTAGCAACAAATAAAATGGCAGTCAGTTTTATTTCTTGATATTGTTTGATTCTAAGTTAAGGAAACTCTCAGGTTTTTTTAATATTTGGACCATTAACAGCAATCATAATTTCCATCTCTTGCATGCTCCACCCACATTATGTACTTTTGTCCTGTCCTGGTAGTTTGTCCTGTACTTTTGTACAGGGAAGCCTTCACTCAATGGTCAATTCAACAGATAGCTTGCCACAGCATCACCAACAGAATAAATAATCACAACAAGATATTTGAACATCTTGATCTTGCTGTTAGGAAAATTTATTATTATCTTTTTGCAAAATAAATCACTTTAACAATGGGTTAAAGCTTAGGTGAAACTCGTAGCTGAATTGTTTCTCTAAATTCTAAAATAATTGAAAACTTTGAAAAAAATCGCCTTCTTAGATGTGCCAGCAGACATTATTCGATTGGCATGGATTGCCTGTGAGTGCCACTTTAGCACTTTGACGAGGCCTGCTTATTTATTTTGATACACTTTCCCATATGATTTGGTCCCACTTTATTTGTGCTTTGCAGAAAAAGTGTCAGCTTTTTTAGGTGGGTTGTAACAGGAGTACACATGTTTGGATGTTTGATTTAAGTGTAACCCCCTGAAAGATTACTCAGTCAGTTAATTTCTGCAGTGTGAGTTTCATGGTGTTAATTCTTGGCCCTTTAATCTTGGATTATGGTTATTTTCAAAGCCTTCTGTAAAATCAGGGATAAAAAGAAATGTTTTATTTGACTTCATTTATAGAAAATGTGCATGTACCCACAATTTCAAGCAAATTTAGATAGCTAAGCTCATAGGCTTAAATCTTTTTACCAAAACCTCATCAGTGGCTTTAGCAGGAGAAAAGTAGGTCATTTCAAATATCAATTTAAAATATCCAGACTTGAATTGGATACAGGGCCAGTCTACTGTAATCTAAAGGGCCTGATCCAGAAAAAATTTCCCCTGGCTGGACAGTGCCCCTCGACCACACTATCTACTACCTAACATAATTCAGATATTTTTCCTGTATCTTCTCTCCAAATAACTGAATCCCGAACTATTTTCTTTCCATATGAAAATTTTTTTTTGATATTTTTTGCCTGTTGAAATTTGACAGGGAGAACTCTTTTGAAGAATAAATTGCTGCAGCCCTATGTTTTGTTGTGCATTAGACAAACCTCTACAAAAATCTACAAAAGTGTGGACAGGCCATATGCTACAGACTTGGCTTTCAATAGATCAAATAAAGGGAAAAGTCAATATAATGTAAATTTACCATACCTATTAGCATTCTAAAATTTTCTTGTCCCACAGATTCCCGAAATATTTTTTTGAATATAATGAATCGCCTATTGAGGTTTTGAACTGAAATTCAAATTAACAACATTTCATTGTCTATAGGCCTGTGTTGTATGATGGTTATTTTTATAAAAAGGGTTTTAATACAAGCAAAAAGGTTATAAAAAAAATGAAAACTCTTTACTGTTGGGCCCTAATGGAAGGTTATTATTTCGCTCCAAGATTTAAGTCCCAGACAGTGAAAGTTTCTTTGCTGTTCTCAATATTATTGTTTTTGAATTTGAATGCCAATGTAGCTTTTTCTGCAAAACTTGAATATGTATTTCTTGATTTCTATTCATTCCAAATTCTTTCATGGTATGAAAGGTATGAAATGAAATGACTATGGTATGAAATGTCAACCACTTTGCGTTTTGTATATAGACCAACAAAGGGGCTGCTTTTTTTCCTTCAATATCTTGAAATTGTCTAATATTGTGTATGTGTCGGCCTTGCCGTTTGAGGCGAGCAACAACCTCCATGTTGCCCTCCCAACCTGAGGCGAGCTGCGGGTTGCTATCTTAAACAGAACACGAAGGAAAAATTGCTTCTCTAAAATTTCCATTAATTTGACCTTTTCATATTCAATTGGTTTATTTTTGAACAGTAATTTCTCCTGTCATTCCATTTTTGTAATTAATTTTTTGCCGGTCAGGCGGTTTTTGTTATGATAGTCACGAACTTCAATCTATTTGGAAAAGATAGTGAAGTGAAAAGTACGTTGTAGAGCCTAGAATCTTTCAATCTTCTGAAAACAGGCATATTCTTGGTAGAAACGTCAAAGAAATTGGTAACAGTTATCGATTGGAGGATAGAATAAAACAGCATGTCCCTTCCAGCATTAGAAACAAAACACTCCCCCAAAGAGAACAGCCTCCTGGATCTTGCAGATTAAAAATGACAACTAAAACATACAATTCCACTATAAAGCAGCATTTACTGGAAAACCCAGATTGTGTGAAAAACTTTTATGTTTCAAATTATTGAAAGAGCCCGATTGTTGTTCCATCTTATAGATTTGGAATCTATTTTTGTGCTGTGCAAGCTTTGCACAAAGCTGAAAGATTCTGTTCTTTTAAATCCTTCAAACAAAGGGGGTACCTAAGCCACTGTTAAAGCATATATAAATTGAAAGACGTAAAACAGCAAAGTTACTCCTTGACTTCAAGACTATTTAGAGCCAATTGACAGATACGGATGGGGCTTAAGCCATCTATCAGTTGCCTTTAGAGTACATTACTATCAGAATATATTACTGATTTAGCTCATCTCAGCAAATAAGGGGAGTGATTCACGGCTCATGTACAAAAACACAAACTGCCAGGCCTGCATGTGCATTGATGAAACCAACAGTGATACTGAGAGAATTTTTTAATTGACAAGGGCTAATAAAAACAAGAATAAGATATTTGGAAAAATCTTGACTTCTTTTGAGGGTGAATGGCTTCTTATTTCATAATCTGCTACTTTTTGGTTTCCCCATATAAGTTCTTATTTTATTTTCCTCCCTATAATTATCTCAACTCAAGGCATCCTCTTTTAGAAGTGTGAATTAGATTGCCTTTTGTTTCTTTGGAGCTTGTTTTAGGAGGGAACAACTTAATTTTGCTTAGAACAAGGCCGGATACAGTCTTTGCATATACTGAAAGGGCATGTTTCATGTACCACTACTAGGATTGCTTGACAATTTTAATCAACATTTCCAGAGATCATCGTATACCTGATGATTATACTTTAACTTTCCTAAACCATTAATTTGAACTGGAAGCCTCATCAGTAATTACACACAATGGTTTGGTGTGCTTGACATCTTTAATATATATAGGCAACATAAGTGGCTTATGAGATGATATTATAAAAGTTCTTCTTGGGTTAAGTTTGACTTGCATAAGTCAGAGTCAAAACTAAAAAATTCTTGGTACCAGTCGGTTTGGCTCATTGCTTAGTCAGATATTTGTGTGAGTTGGGATATTTTTCAAGTCCTTTATTTGGAAATCTTACTGTCTCTTGAAACTTACGCTTAAGATATCAAAATGATTTAAACTAAATCCTTCAACTTATGGGAGGAATATTTGAACAAAAAATTGCAAGGTGCTAGTAATTAAAAATGAACTTGAGAGCCATTGAAAAGTAGTCTACTTAAGCTGAAAAAATCATTGACTTTGAAAAGTTTAAATCACAGAAACACAATCTTCAAAATATCGAGATTGCTTAAGTTAGGTTGCATTCACAAGCTTGAGATTGCAAAACCATGATTGCCATGACGAAAATGGTTGTGAATTGAAATCCAGATACAAATGACACAAAATAAGAATATTCTCAAACATAAAAAAGTACTATCATATACTTACTTGTAAGGCCTACAAATTTTCGTTGATTATAATGTTAACTTACTTTTGTCAACTTTTCAATTCACTGCTTCATTTCATAACTTTCAATAATTACACCAAACTACAATCAACAAGTTTTCAAAAAGGTTTCTTATAGTTACAAATATGACAAAAAAACAGTTCTTCATAGTTGCCAATATTTTGAAGTATGTTGAAGTAAGACTGGAAGTTGTCTTACATTTGGCTTTTGAGAACGCGTTAAATTGAATAGACTTTAGGTTGCAAAAAATAATTTTTTTACTGTTATAAGCACACAAATTGATAATTTGGCAAGTAATTTAGCATGGCTGAAAGTTGCCATGAGTTTTCAAACCGCATCTGTGAAAACGTGACATGACTTGAAATATGTAATGTCTCAGGGCAGATGATCTGTGAGACTTGGCAACTATTATAATTCCACAATTATAGATATGTCAGCTTGTATCAGGTGTAAAAATCCAGCTATTCTGGGCTTACTGGCAAAAAACAATGAATTATACAGAAAATGTTAGTCCATTTTCAAAGAGAAAACTTCTTTGGCCAAAATGACAATCTTGAGGGCAAATTATTCAGACTTGGCATTGCAAACTTTCTCTCTTTCATGCCAAACTAGTGAGCAATTCTCTACTTTCAATCTGTTGAAAAATTGGAATGTCACAATTGCCTTCTCTTCCCTTCTATCTACACCGCTGTGTTTGAAGCAATATAAGAAAAAGATTAGAAAGATATTCCTTCTGCAATATAATTCCTTCTACAATTGCAGCCTTATAATGGTTCTTCAGAAAGTGGAAATTCACACAAGGGCTAGGGTTTAAACTTGAACTATCTAGATGAAGCAAAAGCTTATATTTTGTGTATATTTGTATAATTATCTATTATTCCTGAGCCCATAAAATACAAACCTGAAATACAAACATTTTAATCCCTGCTGGAGCCCCCAGAAAAGTAGGGTGGAACTTACACTTGTGCAGAACATCATCTTCACATGTCAAGAATTATATGAAACAAACAAATGCTAACCATCAGGCAATATCTATTTTGTGGACAAATGATGTTTTCTGACTGGCAGGGAATTTAATCTCAGCATCCTTGGTAAAGACTTTGAAAGTACTTTTTTGGGGATCAGGCCTTTTTTTAAAAGGAAAAATAGTGAATAGTCCATGGTTTTGCCAGAAAAATGCTGCTTGGCTGAGGGTTATATATATATTACCCCCTACTTGATATATTGAATGAGGCCCTCCCTCTTTTGTTATAATTTAAAGTAACACTTTTTTTCAACATTTTGCTCTTCTTGGGTTACATGGTATTACAAGAGTTTCACATCGTAAAAGACAAAATCTAATTTTTCTGGGAAGCTTTGTGATTTATTATCAATTATTTTGTTTAAAGAAGGACTATCCAGCATTTCTTTTTTTAACATCTTGATAATTCAATAGCAAGTTTGGTATCAGGATTTTGTTTGTGAATAGAGCTTGGAACAGCCATGTTCATTTTTTAATTAAGAAGCTTTTGAAAAGAGTTTGAAGGGCTTCAATGCTCTAGTTTCCTGATATGACAAAGATAATTGAGAGGATCGATAGGACTACTTGCAATTCAAGAAACATGGGCATAATGCTTTGGTGTGGCTTTAAAAGGTTTACTTAAATAAATCTAAAATGGCTGTGCATGTAACAAAATATTGTGTTAATAAAAAATCAAATAAAAATTTTGTTTTTTTATCTCTATGGAGTTTGTGAAAAATTAATGCTAGGGGTACTTGCTCCACCTGGTCCCTGTAATATCACCCCTGAAAAGACATCCGCTTGTACTGTCCATCAGATGACAAAGTGCCGACTTCTTACTTATTTGGAACGAAATGTTTCAGTTGCTGGTTTCAGTGCATTTATAATACCAAATATTCTTTTAGGTAGAAGAATGACAGCAGTTGGAGCATGATGAAGAACAGATGGACGTTGGCTGATTTGGACAGTTGAATAATTCAAGTATCCATTTTTGAATTTTGTTAGTTTTTTTGGGGGGGGGGGGAGAGTAGAGTGATGAAATATCTGCAGTGATGTCCATCATTAATAATCAATTATATCAAAGGGGTATCCATGCAATTTATTTAAATTTTTGTTTCTTGAAAACAAATGAATGCAACACTTTTCTAGAAATTCATTACATTTTGTGCAAATGGTATTAATAGCTATAGCCCCCACCCCCTTCCCCTGTTTGTTGAAGCCTTGTTTCTCTCCATATCTAAACACCCCTTATTATAAAGATCATTAATGTTTGTTTGTTCAAATGATTGCAGAAGTTTAAGTCTAAGTTTCCATGGGGGCCCTTGAGTTTTATTGTTTGGAAGTGCAAAATGCAAACCCCTCCTGGGAAATTTTGGGAGTCACCGTTCCCCGTCCTTAGTGGTAATAAGTTAATAAGTTTATCAGTTTATTAGTTTATTATTGTAGTATTTCAATTCTGTGATTTTCCAAGTTTCAGTCCGATCGTTTTCCAGCGGATTGTTTAGGAATTCAGATGTATTTGGTTGTTGTATGTGATTGCTATATTTTTTATGCTCATTGGAATGAAACATTTTTTGTCTCCAGAAATCTGCCTTGTAGGTTGTTTTTTATTTAAACTTGTTTATTTTAAATAGAGTTGCTAGTAAAAGGGTTTCTATACATTGACTCGCGATAAATTGTTCCAATGTTGCATGGCGCTGTGGTCGAGTGGACTGCGCGGTGACCTCTAGAGGTGAAAGGTCACGGGTTCGAATAACTTTCAATTTTACTCGAAAAATTTTTTTTTTCTTTCTTCAACTATTTAATTTTCAGATAATTTTTAAACATTTTAAAGTCTATTGGAGCCAAAAAGACTTATTAATGTTAACAACTCTTTTATCCCGAAGCGCTTCAACCCACTTTGTTACTTGTGTAGCAAAGTACTATACCCGATTTGTTTTCCCCGATATGTTAAGTTTAAAAGATGTGAAAATTCGAAAAATCCTCAAAAATACTAGTTTTATACAAGAAACAGTCAAAAAAACATTTATTTGCTTCTTTTTAAACCAGATAACATATTTACGAAGTTTGTCTATATCGCATTACAGCAATGATTGCCTTACAGCTATCTCTGGAAAAGTAAAATATACTAGCACTTGTTACCCTCGTTGACCAAGCGACCCTGTGGTCCAGTGGTATTAGTGGGTGACTGCTAATGTCAAAGGTCATGAGGTCGCGGGTTCGAATCCCGGCTCAAGCGCTGTTTTTCCTCCAAAAATTCAAGCGGCATTCACGTGGACAGATGGACAATGGAACAATGGAAGGACAATGGAACAATGGAAAACAATAGGAATTTCCAAAACAATGGTGCATTCAAAATGGGAACAAAGAGCTGGGATTCGAACAGGCGCATGCGCTTCTCGGTGGGCGGTAGTCCCCGGCTCCGGACGTCCGGAGCCGGGGAAGACCGCTTACCGGGGGTTACCTACGGAGTCAGCAGGCTGGCCTCCGACTGAAAAGTCAGGGGGACATGCTCGTCTCCGAGATGAAAAGTAGGGGGACAGTCTGCACTCCAAGAGAAAAAACAGGGGGAAGGTTCAAATTTTTTTTTTCAAAAAAAAATTTACAAGTGTAAAGGGTCCCCCACTCCGCCCCGCCATGCTGGGCCTCTCCCACGGAGTGCCCCAACGTCCCACCTGCACTGCAAGATCCTGGTGAGCCCCAACCAGTCATTCTTCGCTCCATCTATCTTACCATCACTGCAGGTTGCCCTTTATCCCTAAGGTAAGAGGATTTATTTTCTCCTGCACCATCTCTTCGACTGCCCGTCATTTTAACAAGTATATTGTACAACAAAGAACCAGTATCAAAACTCATCTCCTAAGGCCTAACTTAGCCTATTTCTGAGGGGTAAATCATATTGCACCATTTCTCCCCGTTGCTGCAAGACACCATTGGCTTACTGGGGGCACTGCCCTGCAAACCTAAAACAGACAATCTAACCGGCCGAAAGATCACACTGCTTTTAGGGGGAAAAATTGAGAATTTTTGTAAACAGTGCTAAAATGCGCACTCCTTGCAGGTTGATCGGTGTGAGATGTGAGAGGTGTTGCAGACCCGTTGACCAAGACTACCAAAGCCTACCTACCAGCAACTTTGATAACTTGACTAGTAAGGCCACTGTTCACAACGTCTACGCGCCACCCAGCATTTCTCGTCATTGCCCGGTACGTGCCAAGCACACAGAAAAATCGTCCCGTTGCAGTGTTATGGACGAGGGGAAATTTGGCAGCGAATGGTCGAAAAGAGCCTAAGCGTCGGCAGTTCATCACGCAATATACTAACCATAGAAAAATAAAATAGTTACTTAAAACACTGAGAGAAATATAACTCAGTAAAAATAAATCGCTAAAATAAGTTACAAATAATAAACTCAGAAGTTATCACTAACATAGATTAATCAAAAAGTTTTAAGAAGAAAAGACAGCAGAGGGTAGTGAAAAAACAGGCCAATTTTAAACTATGCCCTGAAAAGAAGGTTTGGAACCTTTCACGGACGTGAAAATCGCTGTTGAAAAAGCCGAAAGGCAGTGAAAGAATTTTTTAAACCCCCGAAAAATACGAGAAGCCTATAGGTATAGAAGGGACAAAGTGAATTGCGAAAAGTATTTAGATTTGTCAGAAAATGAGGACAGTTTTGGATAAAGAGAAATGAAACCAACACATTATTAAAATCGCGAACTATCCTAGCTTAACAAACTTCTTAAACAATTGGAACGGAAAGTTGTCGATCCTGAAAACAGTCTGGATAAAACACTTTTCAAAAGGGGTTTTGTACTTTGGACGGCTTTCACGCAAAGAATTTTCCGTAAAATTAACGAAAAAGGATTGAAAGTTTTCAAACTTGATGCCGAAATAAGCGCTAAAAATTAGAAGAGAATTTTTCAAACCCCCGAAAAATACGAAAACCATATAGGTATAGAGGGGACAAAGTGAATTGCGAAAAATATTCAGATTTATCAGAAAACGAGGAAAAATGGGAAAAGCACACTTTGGTTTTAAAACTGTTGGGGAGAAGAGAGGGTAGAAGATTAGAAATAAACTAGTAACAGTAGAAATAAAAATATTATTAAAGAGAGCTATCTAAAACAAATTGCTATATTATACAAACAAATATAATTATATGCCTACTTAGTGAATTTAGAGTAGATTAATTTAAGTAAATGTTGAATAATGTTTAGAAATATTATCTAGTGCTATAAAATTCTTTTAAAATTGACAAATAAACCTCTTGTCCCAAAAATTTCAAAATTCAACCTTAACAACACAGTACGCGGCTAGGTAATATTGAATAAATAATTAGATAGGCATAAATTAATCTTGTAGCTTTTAATTCATCTTGAGGTTATTACTTGCGAATATTGATAATAAAAATATCCTAATTCATTTAGAAATAACTAGATGTTTAGTTTATTGGGTCTATTCATAACCTTGAGACTTACACAATAATAATAATCATAATCATCTTTTCGATTACAATTACAGAATATTATCAAATTATCAATAATATTATCAATTGCTTAGATCTATACATCAATTTTACGGTAAGTAAAAGGGATACATTAGGGAAATTCCCGCCCCAATAATTATATTACGTATCAAATTACTTTCAATACTTTATGTAACTTTATAATTCGCTCTTATTTTATGTTATTATTACTGATATCGAATTAAAAGTTTCATTTTACGCGATTAATCTATATAATAGTTGAATGATAGCTGAAAATTAGTTATTATTGTAACTTTAAATAATAACTTAATTATCTAATAAAGAATAGCTTATAAAGAATTACTTAATTATTTAATCCTACAAAATTGAAAGAAAAAATCTTACACTAATAAATGATAAAAGGCGCACATAAACGTAATGAACTGCAAGGTTACCTATTCAACAGAACGTTTCGCCGTACCCTTGACCGATAGGGTAAATTAAATAATAATAAAAAGAATTACGTATACCAAAAACCCTCGCACCCGACTAGAGAGCCAGGACAGATCAGAAATTGCTATCCTTACAACACAACCCCGATCATCACTTTTAGTTGCTAGATTGCAGCCTTTCGTTTCCATTGCGGCACTCCCATTCACCAAGACATCGTTGCAGCAAAGAGAATACTCTAATACAATATGATTCACTCGCCGTTAAAGCTACCTATCATTGGAACAGCCACCGAAAACATTGCCCCCACCCGGTGTTTGAAGGTAAACAAAGCTACTTATTTAATGTTCCCATGATGAGTTTGGATCCTGATTAAATGTGTACAATATACAAGCAAAGATGACAAACAATAGAAGAGATAGTGGAAGAGAGGTAATAAATCCTCTTACCTTGGAGATGAAGGACAAACTTGCAGAGACGGCAAGACAGGATGAAGCGAAGAATGACCAGCTGGAGCCCACCAGAATCTTGCAGCGCAGGCAGGACGTCGGAGCACTCCGCGGGAAGAGGCCCAGCACGGCGGGGCGGAGTGGGGGTGTGTCCGCACAAACATTCACTGTTCCCAATCCCTAATACAAGAAGCCGTAAAGAGAATGTGCAGACACGATGCAGGTGCAAAAACGAATGACAGAGCTTTCTGGCTTTGACGATTTTTCAAAAACTAGAACCCTGGAAGAAGTCTGAAACCGAATTATTAATGCTTGGAAACGGAACAAAATCCAGAAAATATGGGCAATTTTTTATTCAAAAAACAAGAAAGGACCTTCAAAAAGTTTACCGATAAAAAATCTTGCCGCAAAACATTTGGAATGCGTAAAGCAATTTTTTGTAAAAATAGGGCTGCTTTCCTACGACAAAAAATTTTGCATTCTGAGTGCAAGAAAAAATTTTGAACAAAAAAGACACCCAAATACGACCTTACTGAAAGAAAATGAAAATTCATTCCTCTACGGGGGAAATTTTTACTTGAAAACATTAAAAACCCAACCCTTATCCTGATTTTTTCTGGGAATATTTTGGATCGTCAAAAAGTTTGTAATCTTGAAAACGGAAGTAGAAACTTAAAAAGTCAGGCGATTGTGAAATGGTTTTTGAAAACGGAAGTGGTAACCTAAAAATCCAAAATGTTCGGAGAAGAAAGCTCGGCAATTCTGAAATGAGTCCTGCTTGTAACTGACCATTAACGGAAGGGCCACCCTTGCCATTGGCTCTATCATGTCGATTTGCACCTGCATTTGATTAAGTCTAATTACAAACACAACATTTTACAAAGTCTTTCTAGAATGAACCTCCTTCCATCAGCTGAAGATTTGAAGCAAACTATCCCCAAATTTTCATCGCTTCAAGCACTAATATAAAACGCGCGAGATGAAAAGTTTTGGGACAAATGTGACGCATGGCCCAAACAACAGACATGATCTCCTGACAATTGCGAGCATATTCTTTGGTGACGTCCATCCTTGTTTCCTTCTGTCCTTCTCTCTGTCGTTTGGCGACTTGATGAAAGTCACAGGTGAAAAGGGTAGAGAAAGAAAATAGGTGAGAAAGTAATGGAAGTATTGAAAAAGGTAAGCTTTAGATAAATAAAATATTTTAGGAAAAATTTCTAAACAAGGGGAAAAAGGAAAGTTCTTTACTATTTAGTGGCAAGGATAATTAATCAATGAGGAAACGGCTAGCAGAAAGGAACTTGGCTTTAGAAACAACTTCAAAAAAGAATTCTTCTATCCACCTTTAAATTCAAAGCACAACTTAGTTTATTATATCTATATGCTTGGGGAGTTTGGTAAATGCATCTTGCATCTGGCCAAAATGGAATAGTGAAAAACCTAAAGAAGACTGTAAAAATCTTTTTATCTAAATAACAGGGTTTAGTTTTTAAGAGCAGTGTAGATAGAATTGAAAAAAAGTTGAAAAGAATCATAGAAAAATATCTGAAAGAAAAGGAGAAAGGAAGACATGAATGTGTGGACGATCCTCTCAAAAGTCTGTTCCATGTTGGCACTGTTGTTTCCAGTTTGCCTGCTGTTTCACACTTTGTCCAAGCTGCAAAACTTTTCGAATGATGCTGATCCTGGTGCTGATTCTCGACTTTGATTGGTGTTGATTTTCTGATTGTCAATGAATTCCTCCAAGATTGTCCTCCTTTTAAATGACGTTGATCGAATCTCGTATCCTTTCTTGTTTATCTGGTCTCCTCTGGATAGCAGCACAGGGTAGGCTAGTATGACTTTTCTTCAATCCAAAATGAGCAAGCCAACATCTTTAGTCCAATCTCAAGTACCGGCACCAAACGACCACCCTATCACGTAAACGCTGTTTGGGTTTATAGTCGAAAAGCGTTCCCCTTTAAAAATTACCCCCCCCCCTTGAAAATGATATTCAGCTGATCGATAGGAAGTTCAGAATTGGTCATTCAAGCAGCTTTCTCTTTCCTATTACCTAAATTTTGTTTACATTTTTCCCTATGGGATATGCACCTATCAAGATTTACCTGCCAAGTTTACTTCATTCAGCCGAAAAAATCAATCTTAAAAACAAACTTCTTGGTGAATAGAAGTTATTTCGTAAACCAAAGTGCCTAAAGTATTACCTAGAAGCAATACGCCTATGACACGATTCCCTGGGTATCTCAAAGATATCATCAATTTGATAAGACGAAAATATAAACCAATATTGAAACTTCTGCAAAAGGGTCGTCAAACGAAATTGGTTTAAACTTTCATTAGAGGAGAAAAAACAGTAGCATAGTTGAATTAGAGATGCTTTTGGGTAAAACTTAGGGAACGCAAAATTTGTAAAGCAATGGACGAAAAATTCTGGCGGAAATCTGAACAAAAACGAAAACATCTGACGGAAACACTGGTAAAGAAACTTTTGGGCAAATGTTAGGGCTTGAAACACTTTATGAAGCATGCAAGGGAACCTATTATAAATTCTAGCTAAACAAACTTTGACTTGAAAACACAGGGCCTTGTTTGATTGAAAAAGCTGCTCAAATGACCTTTTCCCTTATGGTGAATTAAAAATGCAATCAATGCTGGCAAGCAACTTGTTAAACAAAAAATTGAATTTCACCCTTGAAAAACTAAGAGTCAGTGCATGCACAAACATGCACACAAAAGCAAAAACAGTGCAAGCTCCCCTTGGATCAGTTCCCGCTTTTTCTGCTCGCTTCTCCCTGAGCAAACCCTCGTGAAATACTTTCCCTGCTCGCTTCTCCCTGAGCATACCCAAGCAAACAACTGGGATGGAATCGTAAATTTTACCCAATAACAGTTTCGAAGTAAGTTACTTGCCAGCAAACACCGCACTTCTAACCCATTCACAATCAGAATTATTTACATGAATGCATTCTGTATCATCTGTCCATCTTCTCAACAGTT